TGGTGCTCCGTTTATAGGAGCCACTCTTCAAAGTAAGTACACATTAGGATGACTTTTCACCCCCATTTAAATGAAAAGCTGGGGACAAGAAATTGGTCGCTGTCCACTTGGCTGGAGAGCAGTGGAGACGGGATCTTTGCCAGTTGGCAGAGAGGGAAGGGAGGGGAGGGGAGAGGAAGGAAGAGGATGCTGGGAAGAGGCGAGGTGGCGTCCCCAGAGGCAGCGTGGCAGTGGGGGCAGTGGCATTTTCTCCTGCACTGTGATGCTGGCTCTTGCTTCCACCCAAGTTTCAGAATCTGATTCAGTCTGGTCACCATTTAGGGGTAACGATGGGAAAGTCAGGTTTGGGTTTTTCAAAGCAGGATACAAGGTATGTGAGAGAGGAGAGAGACGGGCGGGGACCCAGCCGGGCTGCTGGGGGTGTGACTGCCTGTGGCTTCTGTCCTCACGCCCAGGAAATACTCCCACGGGCCAGGATGCTTTCCTCGGGAATAAGGAGCTCTAGAGGTGGACTCGGGCAGCTCGAAAGCCAGCGTCCGGCTGTGCACCCCGGCGACCTGTGGGCCGTCCTGTTTCTGCCTGTTGACTGGTGATGCTCAGATGCGCAGGGTGAGTGTGAGGTTCGGGGCGTGGCCTTCCCAGCGAAGATGTCGGTGTCCTCCCACGCCCTCCAGGAGCTCATGTCCAGTGGGACGCTTGGCTTCATTTCGGCTTCATTTCTCCCTGTAGGTCAAGAGAATGAGCCCAGCGGGAGCCGTGGGGCCTTTTAACCACAGGCGTTCAGCAAGGGCAGGCGGGCGCGTTGGGCTGTGTCTGGTTGTTTGCGGAAGACAAGGGAAAGCAGGGCTTGGCTCTGGATCGCATGCTGTTGGGCAGGGGGCAACTCCAAGCATGGGCGTCTTTGTAAATCTGGTGTGGAAGGAGGAGAGATGAGAAGGAGCCTAAAGCTGCACAGGGTCACGACGCTGCAGTCACTCACGCTGGTCAGCAGGGGGCCGTCTGGGCATTTCTGTCCCGGACACTGTCCCTGAGTTGTCTGTGTGCAGAGGGGGCTCGTGTGCTCCGTCGTGGTCACGGAGAGGCCTCGACTGATGCTGCCGCTTTGGGACATGGCTCACATGCAGCAGGAGAACCTCCAGGCCCTGCAGGAGTGCCAGGCCGGGTGCTGGTGGCCTCCTTCCACTGCAACTTGGAGAAGCGGCTGCTTTGTATTTGTGACTGCAGACACAGAGCTGATGCTTCCTGGTGTGTGTGTTGTGTGTGCTTGGGCCTCCGTCGTGCAAGTGGCCACCATTCACCCATGAAAGCACATCTTTTAATCGAGACAGCATTGTGGATCCGTGGCCACACCAGAGATATCCCAGTGTCCTCAGAGAACTTCTCTGTTCCCTCAGGAAAGTGCCCACCCACACACCTGTTGGGAGAGATGCTGTTTGTGTGTGCTGGACTTCTCTGGTCATTTATGACAGCCGAGTGCTTCGGGGCTGGGCCCTGAACTCAGAGTCAGCCAATACACAGGCTAAAGGGCAACCTCGGGCCGTGTGGTTGGCTTGGACCCATCAGGTCACTCTCCCGGAATTGGACAACAAGAGCTGGAACTGGCTAATGATGAGACACACGAGGCACTGGCATTGTTAGCTTCTTATAACAAAGAGAAACAGGAGGCTGGCGCTGTGGCACAGTGCGTAGAGCCGCTGCCATGCTGCGGGCCTCCCACATGGGTGCTGGTTCGTGCTCCGGTTGCTCCACTTCTGATCCAGCTCCCTGCTAATGGCCTGGGAAAAATGGCAGAGGGTGGCCCAAGTGCTTGGCCCCCTGCCACCCATGTGGGAGACCCAGATGGAGCTCCTGACTCCTAGCTTCGTCCTGGCCCAGCCCTGGCCATTGTGGCCATCTGGGGAGTGAACCAGTGGATGGAAGATCTCTCTCTCTCTCTCTCCCCCTCCTTCTCTGTAACTCTGAATCTACAATAATAAATAATTCTTCAAGGAATAATAAAAAAGCAACAGATGAGAAGGGGAGAGCTCAATGGACAGAGCAGAATGGGAGCCTGGGGACAAACGGTGGCTTCCTAGCCGAAGGACTGCTGTGGGTGTAAGAGAAATGCAGTGCCCCCTACAGGCTGCCACGAGCTCCCAGGATGGGTGCAAGGTGGCACAGGAAGTGAGCCACATGACCAACTTCAGGGGGTGCCCTCGTGGACACACCCTATGCACGTTGGTCGCATTTGGGGCGAGGCCACCTTCCCAGACGATGTGCAAGCATCTGGACTTGAGGAGCACTAGAAGGGTCCCCTAAGCTTCCCTGTTGCTTCACCCCACTCTCCTCCTTGCCTTCTGCCAAGCTCATATGAGTTTGCAGATGTTAAATGCTCACACAGCACTCGGTGCACCAACTAGACAGACGGTTCCTACAAAGACATGGAAAGACCCCTGGTTCTGACTCATTTATGCTGGGCTTCTACTCCAGTGGGAGTCGTGAGTCATGGCACCCCTAGATTTAACTTAAAACAGCAACCAGAGACATGAGTGACAGTCCTGGATTGATATTGCCTGGGCTGATACAAATGAAAAATATCTTATACTGGCTTGCAACATGCGTGAGTCCAGTTACCAGCCACAGCAGCTCCTTGCACGGATGCCAACACTGATGTTTTCCAGCCCAGTTTTCCAGATGTGGAACCCCAGACTCAGAGCAGCTGAAGGACACGCAGGGATTTCGGCCTGTAGGGGGCACTGTGAGGGCCGGGCACTTCGCCCCAGGGAGGAGAGTGTGCCAAGGCAGGGTCAGCTTTCCTAACATCCCCACGCCCAGGAACTGGCAGATGTATTAAGGACACTCTCTTCACTGGGCTAAGGGTGCCGTTCCTCTCTGTCCAGGCTTAACGTCACCACGGACTGCACCCCCACCCTTGCTGTGCACCTGTGTCTGCAGGTGCTGGGGAGGGTGGCGGTGTGAGCCTGGGAGCTCCTTCCTGTAATCAAAGCAGCCCCCACGGTGCAGAGACAGAGACAGGGGAAGGATGGTAGTGTGGTCGTGTGCACTGCAATAGGGTGGCTTGATGGGAAGAGTTTTCCGGAAAGCTTAGGAAATGTGAAGTCCTATATATTCCAGAGAGCCCTCAAAAGGCACGGGTTCCAGTATATGGAGGCCCGTGGCTGCGGCTGAGCACAGCGAGGTGGTGCAGGGTTTGGGAGCAGGCTGCTTGCCGACCACGGCCAGCAGCTGGTCCAGTCTCACCGCTGCCCGTTAGGTGAAAGGGGAGCAGCTTCTTTTTATTTTTATTTTTATTTATTTATTTTTTTGACAGGCAGAGTGGGCAGTGAGAGAGAGAGAGAGACAGAGAGAAAGGTCTTCCTTTGCCGTTGGTTCACCCTCCAATGGCTGCCCTGGCCGGTGTACTGTGGCTGGTGCACCGCACTGATCCGAAGGCAGGAGCCAGGTACTTCTGGTCTCCCATGGGGTGCAGGGCCCAAGCACTTGGGCCGTCCTCCACTGCACTCCCTGGCCACAGCAGAGAGCTGGCCTGGAAGAGGGGCAACCAGGACAGAATGCAGCGCCCCGACTGGGACTAGAACCCGGTGTGCCGGCGCCGCAAGGCAGAGGATTAGCCTAGCAAAATGTGGCGCCGGCCGGGAGCAGCTTCTAACAGAATGTCTCTTCAATAAACTTCAAGTGCAGTGAGCACTCTGACTTTCTAAGCTCTCTCATGTTCTGAATCCAACCTCAGGCAGACTCCTAAAGCCGTCCTACTCACGGCATGTGTTTTTATCAAAGTATTTTCACTCCCATTAAGAGAAGTCCGTTACTACTTGGATTTTTGTGCATTTTTCCACTTAAGGCCTCAAGAACTTAAGTGTAAGATAAATTTTTGATTGCTTCTTTATGAACCCAATGCCCAGTTCTTGTATACTCGTTGTTGTATTTAAGCACACACACACACACACACACACACACACAGAGAATTTCTATTAGAATAGAATATGTATTATATTTTAACATTCGTAAGGCACATGAAGCATGGCCTTATACCTGGTCTGGTTGGAACTACAGAGAATCCGATGGCTGCCTGTCTGTTAAGGGCCTGTCTTTGTATCGGTGGGACGTGAATTTTAAGTCATGGGGTGTGGCTACTAAGAAAACATTTCTGAGGATATTTTTTTCCTAGAAAAAGTTATTTGAAAATTTCCAAATTTTGCCTGATATATTAATTTCCTCCTGTTTTTGTGGTGCCACAAACCAAGACTTTGCTGTTTCCTTGTGTGTGTGATGCGTGATCTTGCTCGTATCCGTCAGGGTAGAGAGGAACCTGCCCGAGTATTTTTGACTGACTTCACAGTAATGTCAGAACCTGGGCTGCATTTACCTAAGTATCCATTTACGTGCGTGAGTTGCCCCTTCTAGCCTGGTTTATAATCTTTTTTTTTTTTTAAGGTTTTATTTATTTATTTGAAAGAGTTACAGAGAGGCAGAGACAGAGACAGAGAGAGAGGTCTTCTGTCTGCTGCTTCACTCCCTAGTTGGCTGCAACAATCGGAGCTGCACCCATCCAAAGCCAGGAGTCAGGAGCTTCCTCCAGGTCTCCCACACGGGTACAGGGACCCAAAGACTTGGGCCACCTTCTATAGCTTCCACAGACCATAGCAGAGAGCTGGATCAGAAGTGGAGCAGCTGGGACTCAAACCAGCACCCATACGGGATGCCGGCGCTGCAGACGGCGGCTTTACCCGCTATGCCACAGCATCGGCCCCAGTCATTCATCTTTATTTCATGAAATCAAGCCAGGGAGTTAAATGGCACCTCTGTGATATTAACAGTGTAGATTCAGTTCCATTGATCGCTGTGGTCTTTTTTTTTTTTTTATAAGCGTGTCTTTATCTGGCCACCGTGACCTTCTGTTCAGCCTGCTATCATCGGAGGAACAGCCTGTGTTCATCTTTGGAACTTTCCCTCTCTGTGGCCCACCGTGAATTGCTCATTGTTCAGGCCTTCACTTTGCTGCCGTAGACGTGTAGAAGGTTTTTTTTTTTTTTGCTAGTCTCAGTGCACTTGCAGAACACAATAGCCATTGTTAGCTCCTCGCTGTTGCGTGTGGAGCAGACAGAAGCTCTCGGGGCAGTGTGTGCTCTGTCCCCCAGCCGTCACTCAGGGGACCCCTTTCCTGTGGTTTCACAACAGCGAGGGAGGCTGGAGCTGGACGGAAGCTTCCAAGGAGAGATCAGCAAAACTGAGCTTTGGTGAGACCCTCTGCCCTGGTGGAATGAGCATGAGGCTTGGCAAAAGTCTGCCCTGATGGCCGGTGTCTGGTTGGACATGGCTGCAGTGGGCTGTGCGTTGTGGACAGCATCAGTGTGCGGTGTGGACGGTCTTGGTGTTGTGTGGCCCTGCTTTGGAGAACTTCCCATGATGTGGATCTGCTCTGTCCAAGATGGGAGGCGGACACTCGCTTTCCCAGTGTGCCTTGCTGCTAGGTGCAGTCACGTGAGTTGGGCTTCACCATTAAGATGTGAGCACGGGGGAGATTCTGATGTGGAGGCACAGGAGGGAGCAGCTGGGGTGCAAGGGGTGTTTCTGGTGATGGTGGTGGTGGAGGCGCCTGCGTCTGGGGGACAGCTGATGGGGCAGTGGCTGCCCTTGAACAGCGCCTGATGTTGAACGGACCTGCAGGGTCTGTGTCCAGGAGCAGTGGAAGCTCTGCTGGGGCAGTTCTCCAGTGTGGCTTGGAGTCGTCCAGTGCTGCTCAGCCACCCTGGACGTCTCGACCTGCCAAGTGTCCTCCCCTACGCTCTGCTGTTTCCAAATGATGCTCAGTCCAGCGTGGATGGGAGTTCTTTCGTCACTGGGTGAGTGTGATTCTGTAATGGAAAAACGCGTAATGCTGTTGATGTGAGAAGAGTCTAAGCAAGCTCCCGTGGAGTTATCAAGTCATGAACTTGGACATATGTCCAACCGATGACACCAATTCTAATGAAGTCTTTTCACCTGGAGCCAGCACTTTTAAAAATATTGTAGAGACAGAGATAACAGACAGGTAGCGAGGTCCCATCTGCTTGTTCACTTCCCAAATGCCTGTAACTGCTGGGGCTGGGCCATGCGGAAGCCAGGAGTAGGAATTCTGCCCAGGTGTCCCGTGCACGTGGCAGGGGCCCAACTCCTTAAGCTATGGTTGCTGTCTCCCGCGGTCTGCATTAGCAGGAAGCTTGAGTGAGAATCTGGAGACAGGGACTCAGCTCAGCTACTCTGATACTGGGGTGCCGGCGCCTTAATCAGAGTTTCAGGCTCTGGGCTGATGCCTCCCCCTGGGCACAGCCCTTTCACCTTTAGTCTGACTGTGGACTCTTGGGGACCAGGCTTTTCCTGGGTTCTGTCCTGGATCTGCCAGGTTTTTGATTGCTACTGGCCGTCCATGCCTAGAGACAGACAAGTTAGGCGAGGACACTGGGCCATGCTGCCTCTGTGCAAAGTTCGTTTTTCTGGACGATGAGACTTCCTGACTCTCACCACCGGTGCTGCTGCTGTCACCGTGTTTGTCCCCTTGGCTCAAGGCTCTGGAATCTTGGAACACCTGCGGTGTGTCAGTGGCAGATGGAGCCTCAGGCTGCACCGCTCGGCTGTGCTGGGATCTGTGACCCGGTGCTGACTGGCGACGCCGCGTGCCGACCTGCGCTCTGTCTCTGAGCCGCCCACGGGCCGCCTTCCTGGGCCTCTTTCTTTGGTGCATTTTCTGCCGGTGTGTGATTACCAGCACCTGGAAGGCGGGAGCTCTGCCTTGGCCCTTGTTTGGTTTGCAGGTCAAGAACGGTTGTGGCCACCGTCTTGGGACTGAGGGAGGTGTCCCAGGCCCTGCTGCCCCCAGGGGTCCTGGTCTTGGCTGCACGGACTCAGACATTCTGGCATTGTCTGCCACCTCTCTGCTCTTGCTTGTTTCTTGGCCACATTGTTCAGGAACCAGACCTACTGGTCTCTGAGTGAGGCCAGGTTGTAGGTCCGGTGTCACATCTGCTCTATGAGAAATCCCGCTCATGGATGGCCTTTTGGCTAAAGGTTCTTTGTGTGTTTAGATGGCTCCTTTGTCCTTGTGGGACATGTATCCTTGTGTGGGTCCCTAAAGAACAACAGGCTCTTTGTATAAATGATTTTTCCCCAATTTCCTCCTTTTCCAAATAGATCCCGTTTCTTCTCTGGCTGTGAGGCACTGGACACAGCCGCTGCTCTTAGTAGAATAAAGTCACACTGCATTTTAAACAGTTGCAGTCCCGACAAGCAACATAATTAAACCCAAGGCTTTAAGTCCTGTGAATTTCACCTGTCTGTTCTGAGAGGCTGCATCTGTGTAAAGTGCAGAGAATTGCATGGAAAGTAAAATATCGATTCCACTGCTCAGCTCTGCAAGTACAAGTGTCTGAGTAGTCAGGACGATGCCCAAACCCGGGTATTAAAATGTGAGGGCGAGAAAGGACCTGAAGACTTTTCTCCCAAAGGACTTGTGTCCTGGATTCATAAAGAACTCATGCAACTTAAAAATCAGGAGCGATATTACTGGGTAGAAATGCATTAAACATTCAAACAGATGCTTCGGGACGAAGATAAGCCCAGTGGAATGAGGGCAGACGTGAACAAATGGCCAGGATAATTATTCATTAGGGAAATGCAAGCTAAACTATAGTTTGGTAACAACATACGCATTAAAATGGCCTGAAGTAAGTAGACTGGGCGTGCTTGGCCGTGCTCAGTGGTGAGGGGGCTACAAGGGAGCTAGAACTCCCAGCGACTCCCAGGAGGGCGCAGAAGGATTGACCACTTGAGCGAATGTTTGCCACTGCTTTATAACAAAAAGAGTTAAGTGCACACCTGCCATGTGACCCAGCCATTCCACTCCTGGGTGCTAAACCAGGAGCAGTGGAAACTTAGGTCCACACAGACACTTAGACCCATGTTGTCCTGGCATCTTTGTTTCTGATAGCCTGGGTGGTGATGATCGGGTCATCCATTAGCCCATGGTGGTAACACTTACTCATACAGTGCAAAACTACTTGGCAGTAAGTGGATGGCTTTGGAAATCAGTGAGCTGAGTGAAAGGAGGCAGACCAGAGGCTGTGCAAGGTGTGATTTCTTAGAAGCAAAACTCTGGGGACGTGCAGGTCAATCTGTCACTACAGAAGAGAGACTGGTGGTTGCCTGGGGACAGTGGCAGGTGGAGAGATGAGGTGCAAGGGGCCCAGGGAAGCTTCTATTATTATTTTCTTTACTGTTTGTATTAGTCTCATGCAGATCACATTTAGCGTCTTTTCCTCTAAGTAGATAATTTCTGAAAATCCACTTCCTGTCTACATTATCCTTGTGTGAGAGAATTACTTGGGCGTTTACTTTTCTTCATGTTTATTGAGTTACTTCTGCCACCCATGCTCAGTAGAGGAGCGACTTGTGTGTGTTTCCTTTCACTCAACCACACTCTGTGTGCCCATTCACTCTGGGTATACTTCATATATATATTTCCTTATAAATGACCCAGAAATTCAATAAAAGTGATGTAGTGAAGAAAAACAGCTTTGTCTGCCCCACAGGAGTCCCCCAATAAAATTATAGCTTTAATTTCCAGCCTGACCTTTCCTCTAATTTGTTTGAAATTTCATGATTTCAAAGGAAATGAATTGCTCACTGAGGAATGAACCGACTCCGTTCCCATGGGGGATTTTGAAAACTGAAGCCCTGAGTCCAATAATCAGGTGGCAGAAGCAACGATGTTGTTTGCTGTCCCTCTCTGTCCCCCTAGAGCTTGGGGCCGGTCATGTGGTCCAACAGTCGTCATTTTCATGCCACTCTGATTGTAAAGGGGACTTGGTACTGCTCAGTGTTTCCTCACGCTTTGCCATATTTATAGATCACGGTGGGGTCTTTTACCAGGCAGGTTCTGCTTTGACTGGCCTGGCATGGGGCCTGAGGTCGGCACTGCTCAGCCACTCAACAGTTGATGCCCGGTGCTGGCCACAAGGGCCTTGCTATCGCCCACATAGACAGAGACCTTGTACCAGTTGAGTTTGCTCTTAAGATAAATCTGTCTCTGTCAAGGACAAGGTAGAAACTCACCTTCAGAGATACTTAAGTTGGAACATGGGAAAGACCGGCCATTCCTCTAGTCTTTCTTGTCCAGAGGTGACCGTGCCCCGTGCTGTCTGATGAAGAGCAAGGCAGTGGAGAGAGGGCGCCAGAACCTCCACCCTGAGCTGGTGTGAGCCCTAGGAGTATGCTGAGTAGCAGAGGGAACAATAGCCCCAGGTTTCCAACCCTCCCTGCAGTACCTCTGCAGCAAAGCACAGTGATCCCATCGGTAGCCTCTGGGCTCGGCTGTGTGACCGGACCGCCTTTAGAAAGTGGGATGGAGGTGGATAGCACACACAGAGGTTCCCTTTGGGCTTGTGTGCCTTGGGGGCAAGGTGCTCAGCTGGACCCCCTGTTCAGGAAGTAGTGACAGGAACACCCCGTGTAGGTCTGCTCACCCACGTCCAGTCTCAGCCAATCAAGAAAAATAAGAAAGATGTTACTTAAGTTTGCACCAGTTTGTTACATAGAAAGAGCTGCATGACTCACTGGAGTAGGATGGCTGATGCTAGCAGTACATGTGAGACTCTGGGCTGGCTCAAGAGGTGGGCATCAGAAAAGTCAAGGACAGATAGAGGAGGTCAAAGCAGGCGCTGGGGGAGGCAGCCCAGGCCAAGGCCGCTGTGGGCTTTAAAATGTTTCTGGTGCACACTTGACGGCTGGGGGAGAAGTCATGAAGCTGAGCTGTGCGTGGACAGAAGGGCTTTGCTTCGTGCCACACGAGACCAGGTCTCCCACAGCTGATTCTGCCATGGGAGGTGGGGGGAAGAGAACAAGGCTGAGCAATATTTGTCTTTGTGTCAGTGCGCTCGGGGGGCAGGGCTGGCACTGCGGCGTAGTGGGTTAAGCCACCACCTGCGACACTGGCATCCTGGTGGGTGCCACTTTGAGTGCCTGTCATTCCACTTCCCATCCAGCTTCCTGCTAATGTGCCTGGGAAAGCAGCAGAAGACAGCCCAAGTGTTTGGGCCCCTGCACCCATGTGGGAGACCCAGATGAAGCTCCTGGCTCTTGGCTGCAGCCTGGCGCAACCCTGGCCATTGCAGCCATTTGGGGAGTGAACCAGCAGATGGAAGATCTCTCTCTATATATATATGTATATGTATATGTATATGTATATGTATATGTATATGTATATATAAAACCCTGTCTTTCAAATCAGTCAATAAATTTTGCAAGAACACTCAGCGCTCCTGACCCGTGTGACTGTGAGGAACTCAGGCTGGATGTTTTCCACGAGCCGACGGCAAGGATGTTCTACTGCTCTGGAAACCATGCCATTTGGAACGAGCTCAGAATGACTTAGACAAGTGCCGGCTGCAATTCTGCTTCCAGGAAACCTTGGGTAAATAGCAAGCAGGGGGAGAACGGCAAAGCCACATTGTTTGCGTTTTCTGCAACACCCTCACTCTTACCGGCAGCCAGAGGCAGTGTGCCCTGAATGTGAGCAGGCGTGGAAGGTACCTGCGCTGCCCCAGTGGGCTCCACCCCTCTCCCCAGGGCCTTCCTCAGTGGGAGAGAGCTTGGCTTTAGCTGTAACAAGCACTCTCATGTATCCCTTTTGCATTGCTTTCTCATCACTAGGGGAAATGTGAATTCTGCCTCCGTGTGCAGTGGAAATTGCAAAGCCTCCCAACTGTTGGTTTTCTCCGAGCCTCTTCCGTCTCAGGGTCTCCGTGGAGCTCATAAGCTGAAAGTGTTCTTTCCAAATGAGCTAGTTGGTAATCACCCTCCACATGACTGT